TAGGGATGTCTGCCTCCCAGGGAACTGTGTTGCACTCACAGGGCTGAGTCCTCCCATATGAGTTAATAATCAAGATGCACTCCCCCGCACATACCCACAGGCCAATCTGACCTAAGGATTCCTTAATTGAGAGTTTCCTCCCAGATGACTCTAGGCTGTGCCAAATTGACAATCAATGCTGACTTAGACAAGTGGGTTACTTCTTTTGAATGCTCACAGGTAGCGATGTTATCAATGCACAGTGCCTGCTTGGAGAATCTTCATCCCCATTATGTTTTCTGGACAAACACACATGATTATGGTACAGCACATTTTTTATTCCTTTAGGCCAGCTAGCTCCATTGAGCCTGGTATGTCTGTATACATCTGGATGTCCTAGGTATATGTGGAAAATTTTCACATCTCTTTGAGTTTACAGGGGCATGCTTCTTGAAGCCCACTGCATGCATACTATGATGAATGATGGTGGTGCATTGTAGGGTCACCACCTTACCTGTTTCCCTTCTTTTTACTTAAGATATTTGTGGATAAAATTTCCTTGACTACACCACATCATTGAACTCTAGCATCTGGCAGCTCTTATCTCTTTTTGAGATGGGGTTCTCTGTGTAGCAACACTGACTGTCCTGGAACTCACTTTGTAGACCAGGCTGGCCTCCAACTCACAGAGATCTCTTGCCTCTGCCCCCTGGGATTAAAGACATGTGCTACCATGCCCAGCTCAAATCCCCCTTTAATCTTGCTTTACTGACAGTGGTTTTGGAGCTGAACGAACCATTGCTATCTCTGGGTTTCCAGGTATACTGAAGATGCTGAAGAGTTGGGCTGATGGGGCTTAAAGCAGAAGATTGCTCAGTTGCTAAGAGTCTTTGCTGTGCAACCATGAGGAGCTGAGTTCAGATCCTGGCACCCACACAACTAGTGATCTCATGCACACCTGAAACTAGTGCTGGGAATGACTGAGACTAGATGATGACTGCAGACTGCTAACCCAATCAAAAACCGTGAGCTTCAGGTACAGGGAGAGACCCTGCCTCAAAGGAATAAAGCAGAGAGAATAATAGAGGAGGACACCCAATACTCTTTTCTGACCCCCATGTGTACTCACAGGCGCACATGTGCGTGCACGAGCGCACGCGCACACACACACACACACACACACACACACACACACACACACACACACACAAATAAATTTTAAAAAGAACTGACTTAGCAAGGTGTGGTAGCACATGCTTTTAATCCCAGTATTTGGTTGGCAGAAGCAGGCAGATCCCCATGAATTCAGGGCCAGCCTGGTCTACAAGGCATGATTCAGGATAGCCAAAGTTACATGGAGAGACCCTGTTTCAAAAAACCAAAATAAAAATAAAAAGAGTTGACTAAGGGTTTACATTTTATACTTCACTTTCTATTAGCAGACTAGGAAACCTTGGAAGAGCAAAATGTAAAGTTTGCAATCTATAGAATATAACATGTAATTGGAGTAAAGGTATTTATTCCTGTGGGAAATACATTGGATACTGCACAATGATTTGGTAAACCATATAGGTGATAAGGCTTTTAAGACAATGCAAAGTAATGTAAAAGCTTAGTTGTTTGGTTGTTTGATTTTGTTTTCCAAGACAAGGTCTCTCTATATAGCCTAGACTAGCCTTGAATCCTCTGACCCACCCTGGCAGACATTTTATAGACATGTTGGGATTCTATTCCCTAAAAAATAGAGGTATTCCCTCAGCAACAATTTGCTTATTGTACAAAAGCATAACACTGTAGGAGAATCCTTAGAGAACCTGCCGGACTGAGGAGTTAAGGCCATCCCCCATCCCACCTACCCCTGGGCTTCCCACCTCACTGCTCCTTGCCAGCCCTTCCCACCCAGCCCTGGACTTCCTGCCTCTCTTGCTCCTTGCCATTTCTAATGAGCCCCTGTCACTTTTTCTGTGGGAAAACATCACATAACTCTTGATTTTACTATCATAACTAAGCAAACTTGATTTTATCATAAAAACTGGCCACATTTAACACTGAATATTTAATATATTTAATACTGAAAGCCTCCAGTTACTCATAATTATCAAGCTAAGATGGTTTCTTTGGGGGAAAGTCTGTTATAGAAGAAAATAGTGTTTAGCCAATCTGTGGAGATAAAAACTATCTAAATAACTTGATATCTCCCTTTATGTCTTCTAGAAGTGAATAGGGGTTCTTATTGGTAGTAAATAGCAATTGCTTTAGTAAGTGAAAAAAATTAAGTATAACATACCCTTTATTTATGAATGATGCCCTCACCTTAGAAGCATGAGACTAGTTCTGGAAGGCCTCCACATCCGGAGGCCGTTCTGGAAGAGGAGGTCCATTTGGGGCATTGACACTCTACCTTCCAGAGGACAAGGTTAAACTAAGAGAAAGTCTTAGGGTTTGTATGTATCTTATGCTACAAATAGCAGCCACAAAAAGGAAAAAAAGAAGAACCACCCATAATTTTACCATCCTAACACATTAATTGCTTTCATTTTCTTTGTTCACTCTTAGTACTTGATTTAATGCCATTATTTCATGCAGCTATAAATACTGTGTAGTTAAATTGCTGCTTTCTTTTTTCCACGCAACATTATATTATTAACTCTTTTGTCTTGAGGCTATTTTGGTTGCAAGGAACATTTGCTCAGTCAAGTCAAACTATCTCATAATAAAAAGGTAGGGACTGTGTGTGTGTGTGTGTGTGTGTGTGTGTGTGTGTGTGTGTGTGTGTCCCTCCCCTCCCCCTATGTGTACATACCTAATCCTGCAAAAATCCAAGGGCAGGAACTAAGGAACTAAGTCAACCAAGCTTCACCGGAATTGAGCTAGAACATGGAAAGCCACTGACAACTGAAGCTGCATCGAGGAGCCTTGGGTGGGCAGAAGGTCTCTTCTGATATCCGAATTTGTGCTATGTACTCTCATACCTGCCATTGTCCATCACCAGTAACAGTCACTGCCAAATATGAGGTCTCACAGCTCTGGAACTTTCCAAACCCCTCAGGGTTTTTATTTGTTTGTTTGTTTTAGAATCTAGGAATTGAAGCCAGGTCCTTACACAGTACTAGAGAGCTTCATCTCCAGGTCTCTTTCAGTCTCTTCCATGCAGTGAGGCTGCTCAGTCTGTAGACTGGTGGCCCCTAGCTCAGGTAGACACCCCTTGGTTCAGCTGGGTGTGGCTACCAAGGTAGAGTTACACTCGCTGTTTCTAGAGAGCAAGAAGGCCACCAGCTGGGACCTCTTAAACCCCACACATAGAGCAGCAGCTCCCATGTGACTTGGTAGTTCTCACATTTTCATGAACGTGTGTCATGATATCCAGCAGGTATAACCCAGGATCCCATCCCCCACTGTCTTAGTGTCACTGCTTTCCATCTGGGGTGACACAAATAAAACATGGACATTTCTGAACTGCATCTTCCCTTTCACCTAAATTATCTAAGATATTTTTAAAACTACGTGGAGGTTACATTCTCTGAATACCTCCAGGACATAAGCCATAACTTGCCGTATTTTTGTTTTACACATACTTAACTCCACCAGAGATGTACACTTAGGTACTTATAGGCCAAATAATGAGCTCTGATATCTCCAGGGGGAAATGGTGCATTGTAGATGATAATGATGTGGCATTGATGATGCTTGTGACGGTTAGAGCTAACGACGGTTGTGCTGGGCTTAGTATATACCATCATCTTTATTTTGCTCTGTGTTTCCTACCAGCCTTCTCTTCTCCCCTGTAGTTTCCTTCCCTGCTTGGTGCCTGTGTATGGCCCTCTCCGGGTCTTTCAGAGGTTTCCTCAGGCAGGTGTTAGAAAGCTAAGAAGAAAGAAACCACATCTTCTTTTTACATTTTCATTTAGTGTGTGTGTGTGTGTGTGTGTGTGTGTGTGTGTGTGTGTGTTAGGGCTAGAGTTGTGGGCACATGCATTCATTCCTGCATTCCACAATGAGTGTTGGTCCCAGAGATCAAATTCAAGTCCATGGACTTGGTGCCTTCGTCAGCTGAGCCATCTCACTGGCTACACAATTTAGTTGTTCCCATGAGACAGTAGGTGACAGGAAGCTTAGCCCTTTGAGAAATCATTGTATTCTAGGAAAGCCACCAAGTGTCTCTGGTGGACAGCCCAGTGACACACAGGACACAATAGGCAGTGCTGGGGAAAGCAATTGACCACAAAGGACCCCCTTACTATCCTTTGCCCGGCAGTTTTCAGGCTTTTTGAATTGTGACTTGGAAGCTACATTTTGAGTTTATTTTTCTTTAATTAAATGAAAAATTGTATATATTAACATAATATATATTCTACCCAAGAACTAAGTGAACTTGCGGGTGATAAATCTGAGGTCCTTTGATTTTTAAAAGTCAGAAAACACAACACTAGGTGGTCCCTGACTTCCTCACAGAGCAGGGGCATGGGAATGCCCTTGAGGCTTTGGACAGACTGTATAATCTTGACCCTCTGTCTTGAAGGGGGTGGGATGTTCTCAGATTTCCCTTGGTACCCTCTATCTTGTTCTCTTAATCAGTGGCTGAAGATTGGGGGTGGAGAGACTCTGGATCTTTCAGTGACTGGAATGCAACTGGACCTCAGTAAACACCAACAGAGTCAAAGAGAAAATTTTGCATCATTTTAAAAATCCCTTTGTCCTCTCACAGAATCTCCTCCTCTCACAGCCCCTCTCAGGACTCTTATCCTTCAGCTTCACTCGGAAGACTTCAAGGAAGCCTCCAGGTAGAAATGAAAACCTCCCAGGATTCCCTCCAGAAGGGTATCTGCTGTGAAGTGGGACCCTGGATCCAAGTCACCAAACTCTGACTTGGCCATCAGCTCTCTCCTACCTTTAAACTGGGACAGTTCAGAACTGGTTTTCTAAACATAACTGCTGAAGGGTTTCCCACCATCTGCTTCTAATGAATCTCCCACAATACCCCTAACTCAGAATCCACTGCAAACACAACTGATCAGGAAAATATTTATTATTGGGCTAAGCAGGGTGACAGTGTGGGGTCTGGCTGGGTTTGGGCCAACTTTCCGAGTCCCCTCCATTGGCTTCTATAGCCAAACGACGTCCCCTTTGGTTCTTGACACAGTTGCTTGGTTTGTCTTTATAAGGAGTTGGGGGGTGGAGCCAGGTAATGCAAAGCATAGAAGTAACCTGGAGAGGCTGCCCCCCACCCCCTTTACAGGAAGTTGGGGCAGTTCACTTGGTTTATGGCCGTCATTTGTTTGATGTCGATATCATTAGACATAAGGATATATTTTAGGTAGGCTATTGTATTTGGAGAGAGAAACCGGGTTCTTCCCAGGATCCAAACATAATCCACATGGAAGAGCCGGACGACAGAGGTGCAGGAGTACACAAGGGCATAGTTCTCATAATCGGTGCTCAGGATCCAGTACGGTGAAGATGGTATAACTGAGAACCAGAGGCAGCAGCATGAGGAAGGACCAGGGCAAGGGGAACCTCTTCTCCAGGGCTCTGGGGTCCCAATCGCTAAGTCAGTGCTTTATGTGGGAAACATATGGGGGCAGTGAGAAATATTAAGCCCATCTTCTCCAGCTTTAGACCTTCAAGTGGCTGGCCTTCTTTATATACTTTTAAGTGTGTCTGTGTGTGTGTGTGTGTGTGTGTGTGTGTGTGTGTGTGTGTGTTGGGGGCAGGGGCACACACAGTGGCATATATGTAGAGGTCAGAAGACATTTGTTGAGTTCTCTCTACCTTAGGTAGGGTCTAGTGATCAAATTCAGATCCTCAGGCTCTAACAGCAAGCACTTTATCCACTCAGCCATGGCACCAACCACCTTTTAATAGAGTCTAATTATAAAGCTCAGACCAACCTATAACTTGTGTTTCTCCTGCCTTAGCCTCCTCAGTGCTGGGAATACAGGTGTGTACCACCATGCTTGGTATGTAAAAACACCACCACCAACAAAACTCTCCAGTGATTCTAGTGGGTGGCCATAGTCAAGGACCATTTTATGCCCCCTCCTCCCCTGCCCCATCAGCATGGAAAAGGCAGGATGACTGAGGATTCAGCCGGCCTCCTGGGTTGGCTGGCTGCACTAGCATCAGTGTGCACAGAGACACTGCTTAGCAAGGAGGGTAAGGAATGCACGGCAAGGGCCCAGGGTTCAAATCCACCATCCTGAGTGAAAAAGCAGGGCGAATGTGTTTGGGTTTTCCTTCCTGTATAATCTCAGGAAAACCTTCAGCTTTAAGAATGTGTCATGGTGAGGCTGGAGAGATGGCTCAACGGTTAAGAGCACTGGCTGCTCTTCCAGAGGACCCTGGTTCAATTCTCAGCACCCACACGGCAGCTTACAACTGTCCAGTTCCAGGGCATCTGACACATTCACACCAATGCCCATAAAGTGAATTTAAATAAATTATTAAAAAGAATATGTCATGGTACCGGTGTGGCAGGGAAGAGAAAGACAATGACTTCTCTTGTGGGGAGGGATTTCAGTGTCTGCCCGATAGGTAGGGAGAGGGGCCTTCCAAGCATTTCCTGTGTGAGAAGACCTCGAAGGTCTGAGCTGAATTTTCCAGTGTTATCTACAGAGGCAACAAAACTACTCTCTCTGCTGTCTGTGTGCATTCCCAGGTTCGACCAGAACTCAGCAGGCAGAACAAAGTGACTAGAGAGTGGCAGATGGTGGCCTGGCCTCAGACTTCACGCTTGTCACCTCCTGCCAGCAAGCTTCTGTACTTTGGATTCTTTTCCTAACATCTAATAATTTGGGGGTGTCTGTTTCCCACGAGATCAGACTGGATTCTGTCTCCTACTCATGCCATATATGTTTCTCTGTGGGCCTCGCCTCCTGGAACACCAAGGAAGTCTCCTGCTACCTCCTCAGTGTCCACATGGGATGTCAGCCTGCAAGGACATGGACAACTCTGTCTTGCCCATTACTGCATCCTTGTGCATCCCAGTGCCTGGTCCAGGGAACAGCACACAGTAGATATGTATTGAATAATTGTGCATTAAAATGAATCCTGATGACAGCACTCAGACCTGTTCAAACACAGGGCTCCGGCTTTCTCTCTACAGATTTCCACCCCTGAAGCTCCCTGAGGGAAGTGGATACTCACACTCAAAAAGCTTGACTTTCATCTTGGCTGGCTCTAAGAGGTTGTTCGATATGGCTTTCCTCACAACTTGGTTCTCGGTTCCATCAGGTCTAAAGTGAGTCGGGGGGAAAAAGAGAGAGAGAAAAGAAACAAGGTAAGGAAAGGAAAGAAAACGAGATATGGGAAAGGAAAAAATACAACTAATCGGAAATAAAAAAAATCAATAAAAATCAAGCTTTGTGCCCTAAGAGCTCTGGCAGCCAGCATGGTGGTGTCTGGTATGAGAGGAACTTGAAAGGCCAGCTGGACCTGGTCCTGGGCCCTGTCCTTCCCTCTGTGATGGTCTGAGATTCAGTGGAGGAAGACAGTACTGTAGACAAGAAGCAGCTAAGACAATGCCCAGGGGTTGGGTTCTATGTCAGCCCTTGCATTTCAACACAGGTTTTTGGATTGTTTACCATTTGTCTTTTAGGTATTTCCCGTTCCTAGACTTCAAAGAGAGGAAATAAAGGGGAATAGGAAAGTAAACAAAACAACCCCCTTACAAGATTCATCTCTTCACAGAGGAGAGGATGACAAAGAAACAAAGGAAGGAGGAACCAGATCACTGAAAATAACACAAAGCAGGAAGCAGTCTGGAGGCACTTCCCATCACCCCTGTGTTGCAGTGATATCTCCAATCTGTCCCACCTAGAGCCTGAGTTCTGAAATCCCCTCTAGTTCAGCAGGTGTCCAAGTGAGCATGGGAGACTTGAAACAAAGCAGGTCAGCACAGAGGCAAGGAGGAGACCTGGCATTGTGATTCTGAGACAAGCCCCATTCTCAGAGACATGATTGTGAAGAAACACACATGTTATAATTGAACCAGACACTTAGCGGGGGCAGAGCCGTTCTTTCTTGGTGGTATGTCTTAAATGTGCTGGTCTTGGAGCCAAGGAAGAACTTGGACCCTTCACAAGGACCTGGCCCATTTCAGGCTAACTCCCAGTTACCCCATGAACCCAGAGGATGGGAAAGTCTTGGGGAAGAGGACAGAGAAGGGGAGTGCCTAGACATGAGTGCTCCTCTCCAGGTGGCAGAGGATCTGCCTGCTTGTCAGTCATCAAGCAGGGCCACCATGAGAGCTAGGTATATGTGAGGAAGTCAGGAGGCTAGTGCTATGGTTAGCAGGGAGAGATGTCTTGTGGAATAATCTTTTTGTACACTGTGAATATGTGTCACTTGGATTAGTTTAATAAAAAGCTCAACAGCCAATAGCTAGGCAGGATTTCCAGGCACAGAGGATGCTAGGAAGAAGAAGGGCAGAGAAGCCAGTCAGACGTGGGACGGGTCAGACACACAAAATGGGATAGAGGTAAAAGCTACACGGTAGAACATAGATTAATCAAAATATGGGTTAATTTAAGAGCTAGTTAGAAACAAGCCTAAGCATTGGCCAAGCTTCCATAATTAATAATAAGTCTCTGTGTCGTGATTTGGGAGCTGTCGGGAGGGACAGAAAAATCTACCTGCAGGAATGCTCTACAACTGTATCTTAAGCAGCATAAGGGGTGTTAGAACAGGTGCTCTCTATTCCTCATTGCATTGTCTGTCACCATGCAGGGCCTAGCACCATGTCCTGCTGTCTCCCCTGGAAGACGGTCTGTTTCCATCTGCAAATAGTGACTAAGCAACTAACAAGCCTTTCTCCTCTTTGCTAGCATTTGTGTCTTGTTCCAAGATAGTTTTCAAAACACCACTCTCTGATCATCAAGGCACAATGTGTTCATGGGAAAAATGCATTTGTATCTTCTTTTAAATATTGTTTTTATTACTTTTATTTAGTGTGTGTGTATGTATGTGTGTGTGTGTGTGTGTGTGTGTGTGTGTGTGTGCACGCGTGAGTGTGCACATACTCCTATCATGACATCAGTGTGTAGGTCAGAGAATACTTGTGGGACTCGGTGTGGTAGCAGGCGCCTTTGCCTACTGAGCCATCTCACTGGCTCCAATCTGTGTTCTCAAGTAGCAGGAGTTAAAAGGTCATTAAAAGGTCAAGTCTATTAGATGATTGCCACATGCCAAACACTGCTGTAAGAGCTTTACACCTTTTATCTCATTTAATGCAGAGTCAGTCTCAGGGACGGTAATTCTATTGCTACCAGCTCCAGAGCTAGCTAACCTTAGGTCACATTCTAGTCTGATCGAGCCAGGAAGCCAAGACTTGCTCCCTTCTCTCTTCAGCTCTAGGCCAGCTCTTCTGGGCCCCAAGTTCTTGAACAGTGGCTGAGAATTCCTGCTCCCTATATGTGGACTTCATGGGTTTGCATCTAATTGGACATAATAGTTCAATAAAAGAGATCATTACTGCCAGGTGGAGGTGGTGCATGCCTTTAATCCCACCAGAGGCAGGTGGATCTCTGAGTTCGAGGCCAGCCTGGTCTACAGCTTGAGTTCCAGGACAGTGAGGGCTATGCTGAGAAACCAGTATAAAATAAAAAATAAAAGAGGTCATTAGAACTTTCCTGTCCACTATGATCTGGATAAATGTCCCCAAAGGGCCTGGTAAAGGTTTGGTCCCCAGGGTAATGCTGTTATGGTGGGCATGGGAGTTGAGACTGAGAGCCTTAGGTCACTGGGGGTATCCCTTCAAAGAGGATTATGGGGCCATTCTCTTCTTGCTTCTCTTTACTCCCTCCTTCGGTGAATTGCTTCTTCTACCCCACGTTCTCACCATGCTGTGTCCCCTTCACCAGAAGCTCAAGGAAAAGTCTACTTGATTTCAGATGGAACTTCCAGAACTATGACCCAAATAAACATTTTCTCTGGAATTCCACTGTGAGGAGAAACCGCTGACTAATACAGGGCCTGCAAAATTCCTGGGAGATTCCTGGCAAAGGCATCTGAACCCATGTAGTCGGCCCTTCCCTCAGCCCTCCCCTGAGGCTCCAAAAGGAGCTGGAGTTCTGGAGTTCCTTCCTTCCTTCTCTGGTTTATGTGGGCTGGGAGTCAGCTGCCCCACCCCCGACCCCCGCTGGGGCTCTGGACAACAGGAAAGTTAGTGGATGCTATGATGGCCCCAGAGGGCCTCTGTGGAGCTATGGACTTGAGGGCTGAGTGTGGTTGTTTTCTTGGAGTTGAACACCATCCTCAGACCTTGTGGAGAACAGAAAGAACAACCCTTCATTCCCAGCCTTTTTCACCTGTCTCTGTTCTCTTCATTTCCCCTCTCCTGGGTTCAAATGTAGATGTCATCATGTGTCACTTGTATAGCCCTTGAACAAGTTGCTTAACCTTATTGTACCTAAGTTTCCTTATCCATGAAGTTTATAATAGTACCTGTCATGGGGTTTAAACAAATATATTTTTGGGGGCAAGGGGAGTGACTTGAATATAGGAAATACTTGAACGTATTTGTTTGCTATGTAACTTTTGTTGGTGGATGGTAGGCAAGTAGGACCTCATCCTGGGTGTCCTCATGTCTGCTCTCCAGAGTGACAAATTTTGGGTTGAATATCAGTGTCCAGTGTACTTAGTGATAGAAATACATACTACTAAAAGTCATAAGCTAGAGAGTGCATGTATCTGATGCTTGCTCAGCAAGGAAAGGAGGTGCCTGGGGCTGCAGATGTGTCTCACTTGGTAGGGCGCTTGCTTAGCATACAAAAGGTCCTGGGTTAACATTAGTACCACACAAACAAGGCTTGGTGGCACACACTTATCATCATAGCACTAAGGAGGGTCAGAAATTCCAGAACATCCTTGGCTACACAGTGAGTTGGAGGCCAGCCTGGGCTACATAAGATCCTGACTCAAAAGAAGAGAGACAATGAAGAGAAAAGGGTGAGGAGGCCCCTAGCAAGGAAGCTGACTGGAGGTGGGATACATTGCCCTAGGATAAAATGAGCCCCAAGTTCCCAGGCGGATTTGACAAAACTTTATGGCCTCTGTGAGTAGATGGACAGAAACAGATTCTCTCTTGGTTTGGAGGCCAGAAAAGGCAGCCTAATGTCCTCTGCTACAGAGTCTCCATTTTGCAATGAGAGCAGGGGCACTGGCTATGTTGCTTTTGACTCCCTATTGTCTCTCTTGGTGTCTAGTATTCAGTAGGTGCTCAGCAGTGGTTAAAGAAGAGAACACATACACAAAGAAACCCTGCCTCGAAAAACAAACAAACAAAAAAAAAAAAAAAAAAAAAAAAAAAAAAAGAAGAGAATACATGCATTCCAGTCCCCACCATCCCACCTAGCTTGTGTGACACACGCACCTTCTCTCTGCTCCTGCCTGCATCAGCACAGAACAAGGTCACCCCAGGCAGGCATGTGCAGTCACTCACCCAATTTCGTTGTTTAACACTTTGATGTCTCCATTCCCCAGCAGTATGTAGTGGACTTGATTGCAGATTCCTTTCTCAAAGATATCTGGGATCTTCTCAATTTCGTACCATCTTCCAAGATACTGTACAGACAACAATGGGCAGAACAAACCCAAGGGCTCTCGGGGGACCTGCTGACTCTTCCCTATTGTTGTCTTAGAGGCAGAGCCCTTTCCAGGGGAAACCAGGCCAAATGGGCTGCATCACTCCCAGCCAACTGAGAAAGATATTGTTTCAAAAGAGACTAAGTGAAAGGATGTGCGGGTACCGGTTGTGTGCCATATTCTATTCCTCAAGGGCTCTTTATTTAGATATGCTCTCAGAGTTCTCTTCAGTCAACACCTGTGTGAAATTCCAGCTCTGTGAAAGGAAGCAGTTGTCTGGATGATGGAAAGTATCTTTCACTTCTAACAGCCGATAATTCTACAAGGCATCTTTGATTTTGTGTAACTCAAACGTGTTGGCTGTGGGGCCTTCCTGCTTGGAGTTTGTTAGTTTACTGTGCCTATTTGTAACCTCTGCAGAGGGAAGCTTGCTGAAAAAACATATGCTCCTTAGCCCAGTCATTTAACTTCTAGCAATGTGTCTCCTGCTGTTAAAAAAAAATGATAAGGTTATCTGTTACAGTTCTGTCTGTCACAATAAGAGGCAGGAAGTAGTCCAGTGAGGGACTGGAGAAATAAATGATAGTGCATCTATCTGATGAAAATTTTAAACACCCCCTTTTAAAAAAGGTATATGCACAATTATCTCAAAGCTATCAAAAGAATAAAGAGCAAAGAGCTGGGTTTGAAGTGGGGTGTACTTAAGCTGCCTTCCATGTAACAACAGAAGCTTATCATATGGGGTTTCAATTGCTGCAGTGATGAGCCACAAACTCTAACCAGCACAGATTTATTGATTATGGTTCTATAAGCCAGATTCTGATCCTAACCTCACTAGGCTAAACTTGAGATGTGGGCTTCCTCCCCTTTCAGAGGCTCTGAGAGAGAGTGGGCATCTTTGCTTTCTCCATGTTTTATAGGCCACCTGCTTTCTGGACCCAGAAGTCCTCCATTTTCAAGGTCATCTGACTTTCCATATGCCTCTCTGACTTTTCATTTCTTCATCAAGTCTCTCTGTCTAACCACAGCTAGGAAAGATGTTCTGTGTTGGGCCTTCCCCCTTAGGGATCTGCTGACCAGTTTGTGACTAGGAGCTTACCTAGGAAGTACATCTTGTTTTCTTCCTTGAAGGCCTGAGTGCAAGTTCCTGTTATCCTGTTACTGGCCCATCCAGGATTGCCTGATGGACCTGGGTTGTTTTCCACCATGCCTGTGACTGGTATATAAGCGCCCACTATTGTTGGAATAAATGACATTCTCCCTGCATCAAAGACCTGATGTCTTGTCTTTATTTAAATCCTCAAGCCCCTCACCCGAATCTGTGGAAGTGTTGCCCACCCCACCCCGACCCTCTGTGATTCTAGGGATGGAACACAACCAAGACTTTATACTAGCCAGATATGCTATCACTGAGCTATGGGCCCAGCTCTCTTTTGCACCTTCAGCATTTTGAACTACTTGAGTATATTTGCCTAGTCAAAATATTAATTATAATCATTTTATAAAATATAAAAATCTGTCACTCAACAGAGCAAGTAAAGCATGCATTCACCTTCAAACATTCCCAAGTATCCTGAGAATAAGCGACAACGCTGCTTCAGTCACGTGACCCTGCTCAAGCACATGTTCTCATCTTTAACCATACTTTTACCACTCCTGCAGTGAACCCCAACAGTCAGTTAAAAACACTGAAACTTAGCAGAGGCCTCTAAGCCCATAAGCTGGGAGGTGCAGAGACTGGGAAAATCAGGAACCTAAGGTCAGCAACAGATACATGGAGAGTTCAAGGCTAGCCCACACTACAAGAGACCCTGTTTCAAACAAACAAACAAACAAACAGACAAACAACCTAATGAAACAAAACAACCTGGTTGAACTTGGCCTTCATTGGAAGTACCAAAAAACGCTAATGTGTTTCATAAGCACCCTCAGAAAAATTTTCATCTTATGATAGTTTAACATAGTTCTTAATTACTCAAGAGACTTGAGTGATCCACAGTTAAGAGCAAAGAAGTATGACTTTCTAGAAACAAGGAAACTCAGAGGTGAGAGGTTGTCATGTTATGTTCCCTCATGATTCCCATATTCCTCTGTAAATCTTTCTCACTGCAGTTTCTATATGAGGACAATTCAATGCCTAAAAAAGAAAACTAGAAAAGATGCAAAAATCACCTCTATTTGCAGATGACCTATTACTGTATATACAAAGTCCTAAGGAATTGTTCTTGAGGGACTTTGGATGTTCCTCTTGCCTTCATGTGCCTTGGTCTAAGATTAGAGACGTGAATGACCACAGTTAGTTTATTTGGTAATGGTAGCCAAACTTGATCTTGTGCAACTGAGCTCTGTCCCCAGCCTCACTAACGAAACTTAAAAATAAACAAGAACAACAAAAAAACCTATTGGAATATGAGTTCTGCAAATTTTTTTTGGGGGGGGTTGAAACAGGGTTTCTCTGTGGCTTTGGAGGCTGTCCTGGAGCTAGCTCTTGTAGATCAGGCTGGTCTCGAACTCACAGAGATCTGCTTGCCTCTGCCTCCCAAGTGCTGGGATTAAAGGCATGTGCCACAGTGAGTTCTGCAAATTTAAAAGATGCAAGATCAATATACAAAAGTGTTTCTATACGTGTGATGAAAAATCTGTCAATGAAATTAAGAAAATTCCATTTTTAATAACATAAAGATAATGAAAATATTTAGGAATAAATTTAACTAAAGAAATGTAAGAACATGTATTTTGAAAACCACAAAATATTGGTGAGACAAAAGGTAAATAGATGCAAGGCAGTGGTGGTACATGCCTTTAATTCCAGCACTTGGGAGGCAGAGGTGAGCCGATCTTTGAGTTTGAGGCCAGCCTGGTCTACAAAGTGCATTCTAGGAGAGCTAGGGCTACACAGAGAGAAACCCTGTCTTGAAAAACCAAAACCAAAACAAAACAAAAATGTAGCTAGAAAGATAGCTTATACTTGTGAACAGAAAGGGTTAAGATGGAGATACTCCACAAATGGTTCTTCATATTCTCTACAGAAATGGACAAGTGATCATAAAATTCATGTGAAAATACAAGGGACAAACTAGAAGAATAACGTTAGAGGAACTATGTTTTGATTAGAAACTAACGACAAAACTGTAGTAATCAAAACCGGAGTAAGTCTAGACATATAACTGGAATAAAATTGAGATTTTGAAAGTAAAACTCCATATACATGGCCAACAGACTTTCACTGTGGATATCAAGACTACCAATGGAGAATTGGTCTTCTTATCAAATGGTGCTGGAACAACTGGAAAGACATGCTTCTAGGACACAAATCTAACTTAAAATGGATCAAAGGCTTAAATGCAAGGGCTTAAACTATAAAACCCTGAGAAGAACATATAGGTATAAATCTTTTATAGCCTTGGATTATTCTCTAGGTATGAGGCTACGTACTGAACTAATGAGATACTTACTAATTAGGCACTTAAATTTGTAATCCTGACCTCACAAGTACAAGCAACAACAACAAAAAAAGTAGACAAATTGGACTTGATCAGATAAAAAAAAAAAAAAAAAAAAAAAAAAAAAAAAAAAAAAAAAAAAAAAAAACAGAAAAACTCATGCTTCAAAGGGTGTACCGATAAAGGAGACATTCCATCTGTTGTGAAATATTATTTTAAGATGTACAACATTTATGCTGCAGAACATTAGTTTTGATGATGCAAAGATGTGTTGCATTCTTTTATGTTGCATTTGTTTAACTCTGTGAAGCTGTGTTACTTTGCCTGTCTAAATCACCTGATTGGCCTGATAAAGAACTGAATGGCCCATAGCAAGCAGGAGAAAGGATAGGCGGGCCTGGCAGGCAGAGAGAATAAATAAGAAAAATCTGGGAAGAGGGTTTAAAATGAAGGAACAAAAAAAAAGGAAAAAAGAAAAGAAAAAAAAGAGGATGCCAGGGCCTAGCCACCCAGCTGCACTGCCAGCTGAGAGTAAGAAGTAAAGAAAGATATGCAGAATAGAGAAAGAGAGAAGCCTGGAGGCAAAAGGAAGATGGGATAATTTAAGCTTAGAAAAGCTGGCTAGAAATAAGCCAAACTAAGGCTGGGCATTCATAAATAAGAATAAGACTCTGTGTGTGATTTCTTTGGGAGCTGGGTGGTGGATCCCCCAAAAGAGCAAAGAGTAAAAACAACCAACAACATTTTGGTGTTCCAACGTAGGGCCAGAGTATTAAAACAAACAATCAAACAAACAAAAACCCAACAACATTTTTCAAATGGGACAAGCATTTTAACATATCTGTAAGAGACTTGCATCTAGCATTGAGGAAGAGAGCATTTAGGTATCAACAATTAAAGATTTGGGGAGTGGTTGTTTCAAAACACAGTTTCTCTGTGATTGTCATGGAATTCACTCTGTAGACCAGGCTGGTCTCAAACTCAGAGATCCATGTGCCTCTACCTATCCCAAGTGCTGGAATGAAAGGCATGCACTATGCCCAGCTTTTCTTGGGGGAGGTGGGCAAAAGATTTGAATGGAAAATTTACACATGTCTCATCAGTACGTGAAAAGACAACACCATTAGCCCTTAGGAAATGGAGGTGATGCCATTTAAGACCACTATGACACCTACAACAAAAGAGGACAATGATAACAACTGCTGGCAAAGATGTAAGGAAATTGGTGTTAGATGGCTGTTTGTAAGAATGTATAATGGTGCAACTCTTCTAGAACAGTCCGACAGCTTGTCAAAAAGTTAAACACAGAGTTACCACATCAGCAATTATACTTCATATATACCCCAAAGAACTGAAAACATAAGCCCCTCTCTTTCAAAAAAAGCCCCAAGCCTGAATGTCCACAGCAGCAGCATTTCTATAACAAAAAGGTAAAACAACCCAAACAAAAAGGATAAACAAACTGTAGTATCATCCATACGTCATATGGCAACAAAAGGAGTGGAGTATTGATGCATGCTGCAACGCAGCTGAACCTTTGAAACATTTCCTTCAGTCACAAAAAGCTAGCATCGTCTGTTCCACAGACAAACGCATATTGACAGAAAGTAAAATATTGGTTGTGTGGGTATGGCGGAGTTGGAAAGAAGAGGGGCGTTCTGGTTTGGATGTGAAGCTTCTCCTCAGATTCCTGCTTTGGAGGTTTGGTCCTGATGTGAGCAGAGTTCAGAGGTGGGACTTTTAAGGAAGTGACTGGATGCCAAAAGCTCTGACCAAACCAATGGATTTGCTATATTGGAAGGGGTCTAGTTAGGGGAAAGAGGCCACTGAGTGCATGCTTGGGAGAGATGGCTCTTGTTTGCACTCTTGTTTCTCTCTCTACTTACTGGCCACTATAAGCTAAGCAGCCTTCTGAACTATGTATCCTATGACATGTCTCACCACAAGCCTGTGGGCTACATGAACCATGGACCGAAAGGACTGAAACCAGGGGTCAGAACAGATCTTCCCTCTTTCAAGTTGTTTCTCTCGGGTATTTGTCACAACGATGAAAAGTCTGAGTAATGTAGCTACAGAGACTGTTAGTGGGTTTGTGGTTTCTTCTTAAGATAATAAAAGCCTTCTAAAACTGATTTAATGATGGTTGCATAACTGTGAATATATTAAAAATCCTTGAAATAAAAACTTTTTAGAACAAGCCAGTAATATGCTATATAAACTAATCTTAATAAAATTCATGCCTTAAAAAATTTCTGATTTATAGCTGAAGAGAGCGCTTGCTGCAGAGGACTGGAGTTCAAATCCGGGCATACTCTTTGGATAGCTCACAGCTGCTTGTAACTCCAGCTCCAGGGGATCCAACAGTCTTTCCACAGGCACCTTCACACACACACACACACACACACACACACACACACACACACACAAAGAGAGAGAGAGAGAGAGAGAGAGAGAGAGAGAGAGAGACAGACAGAGACAGAGACAGAGACAGAGACAGGGACAGACAGACGGACAGACACATAACTTTTAAAATCAGTCTGCTTCAGTTCTCAAAGGACTTCTGTAAGTGAAGGTATCAGCTATAATTTCCAGGATATATTTGGCATTTTAACTCCCACACTAAAATCTAACTCAAATTCCTTGGATATTATCATAAATGTGTTTTTTTTTTGCTTGTTTGTTTTTGTTTTGGGGTTTTCCTGGTTGACTCAATTAAAGGGAATCCTTAAAATATTAATGAAGAATGTCAGTGCAGAGTTAGTGTGGCTTTTCCTTCCTTACCTGGGGCACTCGCTGCCATCTTACTCCACCCTTCTAATCTCTAAGGTCTTTCGTCCCAGCTCTGTCTAGCTCACCCTCTAACATTCCCAACACTCACCCCAAAGTTCCAGTGACTGATAATGTCAGTGTTGCTCAAACTAAGTGTGTCACTCCCTAAAAGCAAGCAAAACCTTTTAAGAAGAAGGGGCCTTTGATTAGAATCCAGGCCTTTCTCAGTCATAGGACCTCTGAGTTTCTGTCATCTAATAGCGGGACCCTTCTGTGGCTCCCTCTGCCTCATTCCGGGAAGAAAAAGCATTTATGGGGAGCTGGTTATATTGTAGGTAACAAGAGAACATCCCCTGGGGGACTTCTGGCCTTTCCCAGGTCCCGTCTCGAGTTATCTGACAGGAAGACTAGTTTTGAACCTGATGTGCATGTACCAGCTGTGTCAGCCAAGGACGACACTCTCCTTTCCTCTGTGTAGGACAAGAGTAGTGAACCAGCCACAGTTAATGCCCCTGTTCACATCTCCTAACCTCACCCCCACTTCCCTATAGCAGTGGGGGACAATTCCCTCACTGCTCATGCTTGCCACCCCATGCCCTCTCTCGCCAGGGCCATGGGAGCTCCTGTGGCCTGTTGACATCCATCTCTGAGGCAAGCCAAGGTACCAAAGACTCCCCCTCCCCCCTTTCTGGCCTCAGAGACCGCTTCAGGGAAAAGCTAAAATAAGGTAAGTGTCCTTCCTGTTGGGAGTGCAAAGGTCATTATGCTCATAGATGGCAATAGGGAAGCCAGGAATGCTAAACACACAGGGTTGTCTTTTCAAGAAGCCTGTTTTCCACCCAGAAGGCTGGGGATGGGGTGGCCAATAGCCTAGGTAACCCTGTGTTATCTATAGGGCCAAGCCATACCTCACTCCCCCAAGTTCCCTCAACCAGGAATGGAGGTGATTAATAATCTAGGTGACCTTTGCACTATCTGTATGGCCAAGGGGTTCCCCCAAGCTCCCTCAACCAGGACCAGAGGTGGCTAATAGACTAGTTCACTTCTGTGCTATGTGTATGATGGAGACCACACTAGAATCTCTCCCAGTCCCTTAAAATACCACATGCAGCTTATCTAAAGAGCCCATCTTCATGTACTTTGAGTGAGTTTTGGTGTAGTCACACAGCTTTGTGCACACGGGGTTGTATTATACCAGGAAAATTTTTTCAAGTTACACTGTACTCAAATATGACTAAAATAAATCTGCCTGGTGTCAGACTCTAGAAGTTTGAACCAACACCAGCTCCTGGGTCATGTTGAACCGTATTTCCTTCTTGCCTCACACAGATTGTTACTCTGCTACCTGTGACTGCAGAGACCCCCACACTCCCCCAAGGCTTGCTTTGGAGATTAAAGAATAAAATGAACCTCTCAGTGTGATCAAAACAAAGAGAAACCTGAGTTACCACACCTTTCTCAAGGAAAATTTCTCTTGCACTGGAGGAGACGGGCATTTCCCAATACGGTAACTTTGTCCCTTGGCTGCAGTGAAGAGGCCTGCCAGGGTGGCCAGGACCAACAGCATTGTCACCATCTTGGGTCTGGTGTCCTCAGGAGAGGCCTGGGGAGAAACAACACAGCTGGAGATGTCTGAGTCTCCTGAGGACACACAGTGATGAAGAGTTCTGGAGGGCCTAGTCCCTCAGCTGGCACTCTCCTCAGCATGGAGGAGGAGCTGCGTCTTGCAGCTGCTGTCAGCCTGGCCATCCAGCCACAGTGAGGCCATCACCTCAGAGCACTGGTTCCTCTTGATCTCTTGCTAGATTAGCCTCCTTCGTGGACCCACACCCTCCCATGTCCCATTGAATATTTCTCCAGGTAAGCACCCTGTCCAGTTTCCCTCAGAATTATCCCAGAATCTTGGAAATGTCAGATTCAGTAGGTATTTGTTTCTGGAACATTAACAAAAGTAATGTTCCAGAACAAAAGTAATGTTCCAGAACAAAAGGGAATAGACAAAGAGGTACACCAGAAGGTCAAAGGGTCTGTGAATGAGAAAGCTCAACTCCAAATCATGCACAACATTAACGGTCCTATGAGACTCATAAAGGAGTGCTCCCCAGACCCCGCATTTTACTCTTGCCAACATCTTGCTGGGCTGTCCTATCAATGCACTCTTGGTCCAGGGGCCTTAACCAAGAGCAGTATGTGGGGGACCCAGGATTACTCAGATGGGGTTCCAATTCTGGCTCTGCCACCTACTAAGTGTAACTGTGCAAGTTAGACCTTTGCTTCTTAGCTTATAAAGTAAGATTAATAGTCATGGCCTGTCTCATGAATCTTTGTGAAAATGAAATGGGATAAAAATAAAGGCAGGGGTGGTGGTGAAGGGGTCTATTAGAGAGGCTTAGGTGGGACAGCTCTGGAGTCCACCAATTCAAGACCAGCTCTAATGACATGGGAAGACACCTCCTCTCAGAAAGAGGGAGAGCTGGGGGAAAGTATAAATGTTCAGAGTAGTGGCTGACACCAAGCAGGTGCTCAGTAAATTATCTATCTATCTATCTATCTATCTATCTATCTATCTATCTATCTATCTATATATCTATATATCTAGATATCTATCTATTACTATCACTATTATCCCTGGCTAGACTAGAACTTGCTTTGTAGACTGGGATAGTCTTGAACTCATAGAGATCTCCCCGCCTCTGCCTGTGAGTGCTGGGAATTACAGAGCTGCTGCCTTGCCCAGCTGAATCCTAACATTGTTATTAAGAAGAGCAGAAGCAGGCCAGTATTTCCCAAATGTTTCCCCATCGCCGAGGGTGTTTTTCACAGCGGATGTGCATTGAACCACAGGAGGCCTGTCGCCTAAGTGAGGAATGCAACATTATTTCAGTACAGAAGTCCTCCAGTGGCACAACTGGCTCTGGGGGGTGGGGGGAGGGGGGGCAATGGATAGATAGGGGAGCACCATGGCTGTCAGTGCAGGCTATGGATGGACACTTGGGGCTCCTCTCTGCTTCTTTCCCCTGACTTGCCTTCCCTTTCTTCCCTTTTTGTGAATCCTTGCCTCTCACTGCACATGAGCTATTTCCAGCTCGCTGCCTTTCTCTCCGAGATGAAGGTGACTGAGTCAATGCAAGCAAAATGTTCTCAGATCCGAGCATTGAAAAGGATGTGTCATAACAGGAATAATAATAACCACTTCATTACGAGGCTCTGAACCTCCAAATAACCTTAATAATCAATAGCTTTTTCTTCTGAAGGTTTTGTTGCCTGGTTTTCAAAAGAACAGTTACATAAGGAGCCGGAGCTGCCAGCTGGGGTGGGTTGGGGAGGGGGTGGCTGCTGAGGTTCTCTTGAGCAAATCTGTGGAGGAACCACCATCCTTGTCCTGGACGCCCCCTTTCCCATTGTTTTAACATCTCAGCAGGTGGAGTGTTTGTAAGAAACCCAGCCTAAACTTACAAAATTTTGCACCCATTGCAAATTTTGCACTCAAGGGCTCTTGGGAGCTTTGTAGCTCTGCCCAGCAGGCCCAAGCCAATGGCCCTTTTCAAGCACTGGACTTTACATGTGGCACATAGTACGTACACTCTCTACTATGTTTCCAAATGGATAGGACCTTAGAGGACATCGACCCAGCTCCCCTCACCCCTGTCAGGTGTGCAGATGGGGAAATTGAGGCCTGGAAAGGAGCAGGACTATGACAAGGCCGGCTCTCCACACATCGCCTGTCAGCCATGCTCCATTTTGTGTCCATCTTCATGCCTTTCAATAAATGGCTGCCTGTGAGACCTGATGAGCCCTGCCTCACCATGCAACAGCGATAACAAGTCATGTCTAACTCTGAAAAATGTCTTACAACAAGATGTTCTCCTGTGGGCTGAAACATACCCTTGAGTTCTGTGGGAGGATTCAGAACAAGCCTCGCTCCCTTTGACTACATGGTTTCCAGAGATGCAGTCTGGTTGTTTGAGTTTTCTTCTTATAGCTGAAAATCCTTGAGAGGGGAGAGGCTGACTTTCCACGCTCCTTCCATTTGGAATCACTTAACATTGGCAGAGCATGCTATTGGCATGCATGTATAACTCTGGGTAAAAAATGCAGATTTACAATGCGTATTTTACTATCGTCAAATATCACAGAAAGATCGTCTTGGTGAGTATACTTTTAGAAATAATCTTAACTACAGTTTCAACTGACTATTAAATAACTTAGAGGTAAGTCTTCCAAGGCTGTGGTGCACCCTGGGTAGACACAGACTGTGGGTCAGACATACTGGGGCTCTCCATGGGAAGCACTGGCCTCAGCACCCACTGTGTGATCTACACCAAAGCCCCAATGTCTCAGCTAGAAGCCACCTGTGCCGAAGTTGACCCTGTTCTCTGTGAGATCAATTGCTCAGCTTAATTCTTTGTACTCCTGTGAGGCAGAACTTGAGCCCAGGTCTCCAAGGGCACATGCATGTCTCTGTAACCACAGTCCCTGACCTCAAGAAGCTGTATGGAATTAACTAGATTCTGAGATTCCATATGGCAAAATCATCTTAAAAACAAACAAATCCATGTAGCCTTTGAATAGAACAAGAACCGCAAGGGAACTTCCACTTCCCCTTCCCTTCCCTTCCCTCCCTTCCCCTCCCCTTCCCTTCTTTTCCCTTTCCTTTTTTTTTTTTCCCTACATAGTTCAGGCTGCCCTCAAGCTTGCTCTATAACTCAAGCTGTCCCACAGTTTGTGATGTCTGCTTCCCTAGTTAAGAGGGTTAAAAGGTTACACCACCACACCCAGCAAATCACATATCTCATGTCTAAACAAAATGTTTTCGTGTCCAACTGTAGAGGACTTTTGCTCACACAAGCAATTCCAGTTTTCAGTTCATCTCATCAGGGGCAGTTGAACTGCTCTGGAGAATTCATCTGGTGCTGTCTTGGCACAAGGCAAGTTTCTCATGGTCTCCTTTGGGTAGCAGGAGGGTGGATGATAGGAGAAGCCATGAGAGCAAACACAGGCTTACCTATTCCTCTGACTTGTCACCTGAAAACATGCCAATAGCACCTACCTTGTAAGCTCTACACGGGGGCCTGTAGAGCTAGCATGAAAGCCTTCCGTCCATACTTACCATTCAAGCTGAAAGGGGGCAGTGGAAAGTCAAAGAAGTCTCTAGTTTAAACATCATTTATCCTAAGTGAAAGTTACACTATGTACATACCTTTTTTTTATTAAGATGACAGCAGTTGCCACACAGAATTCTCCAAGTGAGGCACCTGTTTTGGTGCCTGGCTTCTCCCAAGTCAATTTATAAGCTCCCATCAGGCCACTGGTCTTTGATAGTCATGCATGCGACACCCCACACAGCTCAGGAATACTGGCCTCAAAGCTGAGCTCTGTATGAGACACAAAAATGGGATGCTGTATCTGTCCCCTCCCTTAATTTCCTTCACAGCTGCTTCCTGAAGAAGAAACAATGGGACACTGTTGTGTGTGCCTGTGTGAGAGAGAGAAAGACAAAATGCATTTTCATTCAAAACATCTCCTTTGCTTTGTGGATTTTCTAACTTGAAATCTTTTCTGTCCCAATGCTCTTGTAAGTTCCAGCATGATGAGTTTGTACTATGTTTCCAAACATCTGGTATTTATTTTTCATTTTTGTGTAAATGAAAAATCAACAATTTCATTTCCTGACATGGAACAGAACTACTGCACCCCTTATAGTCCTGGAATGTGACTCAGGTGACCCGGCCAAGGCTGGGGATTAGAGTTGGCTAGTAATGAGATCCAGGGAGGGACCCTACTGCAGGGAGCACCAGTTCCCCCATTGTGGGTAGAGACAGACTTATGGTCTTCCCTAGAAATGGACATGTAAGGGACATAGCAGTTCTGTATCTGGTGGGGTCAAAATTGAGAACATCAGTGTATCTTCTGCAACCCCATTCTCTGTACCCTTGGCAACACACCCACCTCCCTTGCGTGGCTTAGAGCTGGAGAGTGGGGTGCTGTTTAAAAGGGAGACTTTTGGTTGAGTCACATTAGGACATACAACAGACCAGATACACCCAGATGGCTACACACTTGGAGACCCGATGAATGGACAGCAGTTTCTAATCGTGCCTCTGCAGTGTGGAGAATGAATGAAGAGGCGCACTGAACATTCCAGCTTACACTATATAGCTTAACTGCTAACTATCCAAATTCGCTACTCAGATCATCAGGCCTGGAAGTGGTCTGTAGACAGAGCTACGGAGGCTGCCCCCAATTGGCCTCTGCTTTTAATGTTCAGTGTTGATGGGACCTGCTCTGTAAGGACCTTTCTTTCCTGCATATCTATAATTTTATAATAATTTTCAGCCAAATGGTGCTAGAGACAAATCTTACTGTAGATGGTGAGGGTAAACAGTACAAGGAGGAGCTTCAGGGACTGAACAGATCCACACACTGTTCAGACCACCCAAGACCTCCAAGATGATGCAGTTAGTGGTTTCTATGACCTTACATCTAGGTAGAGCATGTCTAACTTCTGGTGTTGACAGGTCATTACTAGTCATATCTGGGGACTGAATCTGTGCCGCTAAGGAGTGAAGCTCAGGAGTCCTCTTCCCCTT